TTTTATCATTTTTAAATTCTAAAAATAATCAAATTTTGTAATAATTCTGAAATATAAGGTTTTATATGGTTCCCTGTTTCTTATAAATGCATTTAGTAAATGTGTATGCTCATTGTAAAAAAAAATAAATAAATAAATAGAAAAGAGAAAAGAAAAGAAAAAGAAATTAAATTGGCTCTCATATGGCAGAGAAATTAATCAAGAGGTTTAAATTTTGGAATTTTTATACATTTTATAATACCTAAAATTCAAATTTATATGGTTATTTTTGGGAGGTGGAGTTGGTTAATGTATCATTCAATAGTTCTTTGTGATATACTAGTGTGTACATTCTTTAATTTGTAACTTTGTTGTTTTTGGTAATCTGAAAGCATTTTCACACAAGTAGTTTGTATGTTTTCAAATGTTAAATATGCATTAATAATATTTGTATGTGATATAATATTTTAGAATCATAATCTAATAGTCATACAAAAAATTCATTGACTAGAAATATTTTTCATTTTTAATTTATGCAAAAAATATTACCAATTGACTATGTTTTAATGTTTGAAATCTAGCACTATTTTCTAAAACATAAATTCTAAAAGTTTCTGTGAATGAGATCCCCCTTTTGAAAAAAATCTCTATTGATCAAAACATTTCGCAATTGTATGCATAGCATTGATTTCACAATTGTATATGTCACTTATATATATATATATTGTTTAGATTCTGTTATAACTAAGTGTAAAAGGATCAGAAAATCATAAAATCTATTTCTTCATATATAAAAAGAAATGTATTTTGGTATTTTACAAATTTTTTTAAATTTAAAAATGCCAAACAAGAATATTTGCATCGTTTAAAATAGTTTTAGTTAGAGCTGCAAAAATTTAGGCTGAATAAGTACTTCTTTGGACATGGCACTTATTTATTTCTCAATGGAAGTTATAAAAATTATTATTCTGTTATATTTAATGTGGCACTTTGTGCTAAACTTTTTATTCTTGGCCGCTTATTGTTGTAGGAGCTTTAACTACCAACAAACTAATACCAATTCTAATTCAGAAGTCAAACAACTAATACCATTTATCATTAAACTAATACCATTTATCAGATCTTAACATATGTGAGTAATAATTTGATTCATGATGCATTTTTAAAGCTTTAGAACAAAATAAGATATTTGGCAACTCTTGCAGATCAAAACATATTAAAATATCAAATTTGGAGACAAATGTGCACTTTTGCCTTGCTGTACAATATACAAATACAATAGTTTCTATGCTGGAGATCTAGTTTCAATTCTGAAGATCATTTACTGCTTTCAAGGACAATAGGGCAACAGCAATGCAGTTACCACTCTCGCTAGCAGATTGCATTACCAGACAACAACCACAAAGCATAATAATGAAGGATCTCCGCAAATATACTAAAATTCAATAAAACAAAGTGATTCCAATATTAATGGGACACTGGTTATTTTTAATTAGATCAGATTATTTCTCCCTCTATTTTGCATTCATAGTATTATCAAATATTTAATGATATGTTAACCAAGATTTAAATTATTACTTAAATAAAATTTAAAAAATTAAAAACCTTCTAAATCATTACAGGTAAGAAGTTTGGTATTGTAAGACAAAAGAATAAAAATAGAACTAAACTGTATGTAGGGAGATTAAGGATAGATTCAAATAATTTTATCAATAGCTTCACTGGTAAAGTGACTTTAAACTGAAAAATGTTTTATATTCATTTAAATTGAAAATTATTTCTCCTCAAAAGTTATCTCAAATGGCTGCCTTAATTACAAAAATCTATTTGTATGAAGTCATCAGTTTCATTTACTTAGATGTCTTGATCTTTATTTAGATGTGTTAGTACACTAACTGAAAAAAAAATTAAAAGAACAAAAACTCATGTTACTTGAATGATTTTGAAGCTAAGGACATGAAACTTGCATAAAATCTTTATTTTGTCATGCCTGACATCTTTACAAAATGCAGAATTCCTGTTTCTGCAAAAAATAAATTTAAATGAGAACATGGGAAATGGGATATAAAGTGAAATGGGGAAAAGCTCTTCCAGCATTTTAGAAATACACTCCCTTTACTGTTTACTGTGATTTTCAGTGCTGTGTATCAAAATTGTCCAGGAGTTCTTGCAGTAACAAAGTATATTCACAAAGAATAGTGCCTTGATGCTGTGGAGATTCATAGGTATAGGCTGCAGTGAGGCAGGTCAGCATCTTAGTGTATCTCATGCATGTTCTATTGGATTTAAATTCAGTGACTGTATGGGCCACTTCATAAGCAGGATTCCTTTATGCTGAAGATAATTGTTCATCTGTTCATAGGAAGTTATTGCTGTTTGTATCCCTAAAAAATCTGAAGTGAGAATAAGAATCAATAACCTTACCTCTGTATATTTCAGCATTTCATAGTTACACTAGTAAAAATGTGTTGGTTAGTGCTGCCATTTTAATTGATGCCTACCTCTACCATGATTCTATCACTTTTGTACTGATGCTTTTGATGGATGTCTCAGACTTATTTCATGTGTTTTCTTCCTTCAGATTGTAACACATCTGTTATCACATTGTAAGTAAAAGTAAGACTTATCGGGAAAGAAAATTCTGCTCTAAACCATTGTACTCCAGTCACAATGATCTCTGCATCACTGCAACCAGTTGCATTTTACACCTAAATTAATGAGACAGCAGTTTTGTATTTCCTTCCATACAGATCCCTTTTATGCAACCATTCACTCATGGAATATCAGAACAGTTAAGTTCCTATAGCTGCCGCAAACTCTTTTGCAATCTGGGTTGACGTAGGTGCTGAGAGTGTTGTGGCATGTGTTTGGCATTAACTTTCTTCTCTGCATATATCACCAGATTCTTGACATTGACACTTTTGGCTACTTTTAGGACTTTACAGATCTATTTCAGTTTGGTGTAATGGTTAGACACACTGGACCATATGGTGTAATGGTTAGACACACTGATTGCCATACCGAAATGCCTGGGTTTAAATCACAGAGAAGGCACAGATATTTGTCAGCATATAGTATGAGTGCAGAAAGGGCATCCTGAAAATAACGGCAAACAGAAATCCTCTCAAGAGCTTGCGATAAGGAAAAAGAGATGGAAGACCCTCAAAAATTTTAAATTGGGCAAATTTTAGAAGTCAGAAAGACACAGTAATACTTAATTTGCCTGCATAGATGTGCAGGTGCTGATCTTGTTTCAACCTGTACCTGTTTGTCTTGCTTCCATTCTGTCAGTCGCGTGCATTTCTCTCAGGGTGTCTGATTTCCTTCTCAGTGACATTCCACACATGAAAACATCACCCAACTATTCATAGAATCTTCAAAATTAGAATTTGAAGAATCCTTTTATATAAATATTAAATATATATGTATATATTTCTGCATCATAAAAGGGAATTGTGTTGGACTATGTGATAACATTGACCTTGAGCTGCCAACCAACTATCTTTCATTGGACTTACTAAAGAGTTAATATAAAGTACACTGCGGGGGGAAAAAAAAGAGAGAGAGAGAGAGAGTTCAATATCTCCCGTTTTGTTGGACCAATTGAAAAAATTCAAATTGCTTTTTTCATCTCTCGAAAGCACAACTTAGGATTTATATTAGATTTACATATAACATTGTTCTAACATAGGTATTTGGACACAAAATCAGACTTTTTCAATTTTTTCCCATATTTCATTTCTAAGACTCAAATTATGCCTGGATATTAAATTTTGTAAAATTTTGTGCGAAATTTACGATGAAATTCAAAAATTTATCTTGGCACAATTTTTTAAATTTTTGCCAAGAAGAATTCACTTGGCGAACTTCTTAATATGTGGCAACCTATTTTCCTTTCCCTTCCGTTATGCAAGGGCGGGGGGGGGAGACATATTATTCCTACCTTTTTACATTGTGCATGAGTGGGAAAAAAATCACATTTTTTCTACTTCCAAATAATTTTAGAAAAGTGTCTAAACCACATTTGATGTTTTATCACTTTTAACAAATATCCCAAATTTCAAAACGCCCCAATATATAAATTCACGTATATCTTTGGAAATTTTGAATAAAAAACTAATTTTTTGCAGGTATGAAATATGGCTTAGAAATATGTCTACTTTAAGATGATGGTAAAAATGTTTTAAAAAAAAATTGGTGTAGATTATATTTCAAAATGTAAATTAATTTAAAAATTAGAAGGTAAAAATGTAGATTATATTTCAAACATTTTTTTGAAAAATTTATAAAAATTATTTTAAAATAAATCATAAAAATGGGTGAATTTTATTTGAAATGAACCTAATTTTCGAAATGTGAAAGGAAGAATAAAAAATGAGAGGTTAATAAATATATACTAAACTCAATTAACATTGAGGAGCTAATTTTTTAAAAACTACACGTGCAATTTCTAAAAAACTTAATAGTTTGCCATAATTTGAGTTGTAGAATCGAAATATGGAAAAAAAAGTTGGTATATTATTTTAGAAAAGTCCGATTTTGTGTCAAAATACCTATATTAGAACAATGCTATATATAAATCTAATACACACCCTAAGTCGTGCTTTCGAGACATGAAAAACGCAAGTTGAATTTCATCAATTGGCCCAGTAGAACAGCAGACAGAAAATTGTCCCCCCCCTTTTTTTTTGCGCACAGTGTACCTTTTTATAATTCTTCCTTTAATTTTCCCTGCTATTATGTATTAAGGATGCTTAGCTCAGTAACTTTCTTTTTGTGAGATATCATAAACTTATTTACCATAAGTAAAATGATCTTTGCCAATAACAAATTATTTTCATTATTTAATTTTCTTTATTTTAGTTACTTTTATTTCTTAATCTTTTTTAAATGCATGTTCTCAGAGAAGATGGCTTTAGAAAAATAAAAATTATTAGAAAATAAATAATAATAATGATGATGGTCTTCTCTCATATACTCATAAATTACAAACTGTTAATTAAATCCCTGTATTCTTTCAGATATGATTATGAAAACTGTGATGCTGCACCATGTAATCAAATGATTGCTGACTTAGAAGAAGCTATTGCCAAGAAAACTCTGAATAAGCAATCATTTACTAGTGACAGTAAAACTTACACTGTAGACAAAATTGATAATTTTGAATATATTGATCCAGTTGATAAAAGCATAGCTTCTAAACAAGTAAGATAACACTTTATTGTCATTAGTTTTTAGTGCATGAATTCCTTCAGATTTACAAAATTTATTTTCTTATTTAGAATTTTATATAGCTAACTATTCTTATAGTTACATTAGTTTGTACTATCCTCAGATATCATTTGTAATTAAAAGTCTTGAATGTAATTATGTTTTATATAAAAGTAGGTTTAAAAATGATTCATATGTCAAGAATGATTCATTATTTTTTTTGCCAAATTTCAAAATGCTGGTCTTTTATTGTTCAGTAGTGTGTATTATATAAAGACAGAAAAGTGAGTAGACCAATTCTGGCAAATCTGTATATATCAAAAATGAAATCTTAGTTTTATGATTCTGTGTAAAACTGCAAATTGAAGCATTAATTACAGTAAATATTTTTTGTGTTATTTTCAAGAGTATATTTGGAATTTAAAAAGCTAGGAAAATTACCTTAAAGAAACAAGAATACATTCATGCAAAATCTTCACTATTTAATTTCTTTAATTATAATGCAGGGCTGTAATATTTGGTGGCAACGAAGTGTGAAACGCCGTTTATAGTGAACCAAAGCAAAATGCCAGATTGAAATGAATAGCTCTTCAGGACAAGTTGCATTTAATATTTTATAATGCAGAAAACACATGTCAGAGAGAGAAAAAAGTAGCAATTTTATTTGCAGATTGAAAATAATAATTAATGTATATTCAAGTGCAATTTAGGAGCCAAAACGATTTTTTCAATTAAAAATGCTTTCTAGTGTGACTTATTTATAGTGGGGTAGCTTGAATGCTGTATAATATTTTTTGAATAAACTATGCTGTTATTGTGATGTTTCATTTCACTAGGAATATCGGGTGGAAAAAGTTTTATTGTTGATTGTCGTGTCTTATTTATCTCAAATGGAGAGAATTCTCTGCTAGAAATTTTCGGCAAAAACACTTTCTTGATTTTCATGAGCAGCTATGTAATCGTAAATAACTTTCAGTGATTTGTCTATAGCAGTATAAACTTCTGGTGGCATTTCAAAGATTTCATTCACTTCAAAATGATAATGAGAAAGATAGTGATGGTTTTAATTTTTTTCCTCTTTATCTTCTGCTTATTTTTTTTTTTAAATTGTAATTATCCAAGGTAATATATACTTATTTATTGCTGTCTTACACAGTATGAAGCGACTGAATATTTTCCATGCAACATATTTTTTTATTTTATTACTTTTCATTCCCATTAGCATTGTAACAAATGAAGCAGCACTGAAACATTCTTTGCTCATTTTTCAGCTGTAACATAATTCTCCTAATATGTAGCAGATTAAAAAAATCCTTCTTTTATGTCTTTTAAAAAAGTCTTTGCAGAAAAATTTTCAATTGGCAGAAGTCTTCCAATGAGCTATAACTTTATAACCAATTGATTGGCACTTACTTCTTAATTTGCCAGTCACTGATTTACTTAAAATACGGCTTTGCTTTAAAATATTCATCCAATAGATGATGAGAAATTACTGATGTCCATATATTTATATTCTTTTAAAATAAGGTTGCTCTATTAAGGTAATCTTATTTTAAAAGAAGGGTTTAAAATAAGATTTTAAATTTTACACTGGTGTCCTTTTCTTCTAATTTGATCTATCTTCATTTTTTAAACATTTCATTACTAAAAGTGAACTAAAATATTGGCAACTGAAGTTTATTTAAAACCACTTGAATACTTTTGTTTTTGAAAATATTCTTTTTTGAAAAAAGAATTCATTATTTTTAGGATTGTTTGAAAGGCAGATAATGGCAAATTAACAATTTTTTTAGGGGGAGGGGAAGGCAGAGAGATTCAAATTTATTTTTTAATGAGTTACCAGCTTTTAAGCTTCAGCTTCTTTAATAATTTTTACCTTGTCTTCAAAAGTTTAACACTTTCATTTCTTAGTAATCATATTAACCATGAAAATATTATTTTTAGATCCTAATTTTCCTGCAGGTCTTAAAAATATTTTTTGTTATCTTTCATACATATATTTTATTTGAAAAGCTATATTTGTAAATTTATTGAAATTTTAAGGTATCGTATGATTATATTTAGAATTCCCAGCACTAACCTCTAAGCCCGATTAACTGCATGTGTGCTAAATGCCACTTATTAAACTCAGTGGTTAAACTCAGCTGCTTATTACGTTTAAATATATCCAAACAAAACTAAATAAATACTAATCAAAAGAAAAACCATCGTTTATTAAACTCAAATTGGCAAAAGACTGATACTTCATTACCAGAATATCTTATACCATCAAAGCTGTCCATAGTTCATCCATTTAACATATTGTGGACTGTGGCTTTATTGTTCAGGTATGTAGTGCTTCAATAAAATGGGTTTGATTAATTTTTGTTTTTTACCTCGTGATTCCTATAACACTGTTTTCAAAGTTCTTTGTCCACACTGAGTTTCAGGGGGACAAAATTTCCTTGTCTTAGATTAATAAAAGCAAAAACTACTTAATTTAAAATGTCATTAAATAGATATCTTTCTTTCATTTAGCTGCAAAATATCTGCAAAAAAAAAGGACATTTTTTTTAATACAGATTCGGCAAATTCTAATCTCAATCTTCAATGGAGATCACTCAATCTCTTAGAGTAGGCATACTGTAAATGAATGAGAGTTCCATCTTGAATGCCAGCTGATAGGAAATGGAATGCAACTTCAATATCCCATCTTTTAAAGTTTCTGCATTCAAAATTTTTCCTTTGATTTTTTCCCTTAGATACATTATTCAGGGTTGCCACACTGCCTGGAAAAGCAGGAAGTCAGAAAATTCGAAAATTGACCCAAAAAGGTCAGGGAATTTAAATATTTTAGTCAAAATCTGGGAAGTCAGGGAATTTCATATGGGGATACCAAAAAAAGCGATTTTTTTTTCAATGTTGGAAAGGATCATTCTCTTGGTGAATTATGTATTGCATGAGCATTATTTGGGCAGCTGGTGTAGAGCCAGTTTTCACAGCTCTAATCAGATTGTCTTTTAAAAGGAAAAGCAAGTTTCTTGTCTTTTAGAAAGGTAAAGCAAGTTTCCTTCAACTTTGGTTTCCAGTACCTGGAGAACCTAGAGGCACGTGTGTGTGTGCAGTGCATGTTGAACTAAAGAAAATATCTTCCCATTCTTGTATAAGCAAAATTGATTTAATCCTAGTCTGCGGTACACACTGGATTTCGCAACATTATGATGAGCAGTAAACGGTCATTTTGGTGTTGGCAACAATTTTCAGAATCGGGCCAAGGCTGTACCGTATACTAGGATTTACTACAAAATCTTTTAAACTTTTCTTTTTAATATATGCCCTATTTGTCATTTTGTGGTAAAATAAAAAAATATTAATCAGTCATCTACTGTAACCGTTTAATATAACTTTATTCACCAAAATATTGTTGATTATTATAATTCAATTTTTATTCTTTAAGTAATTAACTTATTTTAATGTTATTCATAGCATTTATTATGGTTTTTCCTTCTAAATTTATTTATTATTAATTAATAGTACTTTTGAATTTCAGGAAATTTTCTGTGGCATACTTCTGAAACTAATTCTAGCAGTATGATGACATATCATTATGAAATTTAATGCACATATTTTTTTGATTATGTATGCTGCTAAATAAATATGAAATATCTGAGTTTAATTTAAAATGTCATTAAATAGATATCTTCCTTTCGTTTAGCTGCAAAATGTGCAAAAAAAAGACACTTTTTAATGCAGATTCAGCAAATTCTAATCTCAGTCTTCAATGGAGAAAACGACTCCTGTTACAATTATAGTAGTAAAACTTTGGGGATTATATATATATAAGTCATATGTAATTGGCAAATTTTTGTATTTTCAAGTGGTACCATAATTAATTTGCCTCATAGCCAGCACGCACTACATGGATAAACCAGAATTTCCTTAAAAGACACCTGGAAAAGTCAGGGAATTTCATTCTCCTGTTTGAGGGGCAACCCTGATTACGTTCACAGTGAGTTTTAAAAAAAAGTTCATGAAATGCTTGCTTCTTAGCATTACTTTACAGTTAAGAGTCTTTGAATGAAAAGGCGATAGAAATTATAGACTAAAAGCAAGGCAAGCATTTGTCATGTTTGTAATCATGAAGTGGCTGATTGACTAAACAGGCAAAAGGCAATCTTCCTGCTGGCTGGAAACATAAGGTTTGAAATTTGAATAAATTACTGGAAGACACGCTTTTTTAATCTGTTATGTACTTAACTTGTAACATGTCGAAAATGCCAAATGAAAAGACTTGGAAAGGATGAAACTGATTACTAAGTGAAAAAGACAATTTGTTAAAAGATTTTTAATATAGCCAGAGAGGGGAAAACTAAATTTAAATTGGGAATTTCTCATACAGCATTGTACAGTTTGCTTAATCAATGAATTATAATTTATGAAAAATAATTAATAAATGCTTATGACTCAAAGAAGCGAGAAAGAAAAAAAAATCAAGATATGCTGAAATTGCTTTTCTGAAATGGTTTGAAGCTATAAAATTAAAGAATGTTTCTATTCCTAAAGCTTTTTTTACTAATTCACTAAATGCTAGGAGAAAATTTTGTATCAGATCATCATGCTGCTGATAATTGATAAAAACTTTTGATTTGGACTGCTAAATAAATACAAGCCACACGAAATATACATAATTAGACTGTGTTACAGAACATTACCAAAATATACATTAATATTTAAAAGTGAAACAGCAGTTGGTTTATGAAACTGATGGAATAAGTTACTATGTTATTGATGTGCAATATGGACCCAACAGCTAACAGGACACCATTGGTTACTTAAGCAGAAAACCTTGATGTTTGAAAGGAGTCAAGAATTTACTTTTGACTTACCGCAGCGACAAGAACCCGTGGGTGACAAGTACTGTTTTAACTGATTTTCTTTTGAAAATGAGGCAATGAACCGAAAAATGAAAAAATAGTTTTATTAGGGTTACTGTGCAGCACTCGCACCTCTGATAT